GAAAACATTTTTCCTTGAAACTCTTGAGGTAAACCGCCCGCTTAATCTTAGAGGAAATGACATTAATGCTTTCCAAACAGTTTCCAAATAATCTGTCGTTTCTGGATCTCCATATGAAGTAAACAATAGCAGACAGAGTTAAAAAAGAGTAATTCTTCCTGTTGCTAACAGTTTCCTCAACCTCAATATCATTAAAGGTTTGCCATAAATTAGGCCTAAACAGCGTGGATTGCATTCTGGGAAAGAACCTCAGCAGGATATTAAATGAGAAATCACATTCAAAGAACAGATGGTTCTGAGTCTCTATATTGGTTTTGCAAAAAACGCAGAGGGGGCAAACCGGGATGCCCCTAGCGGCGAGAACAGAGGCAGTTTTGAGGCCATCCCTAAAAGCAGTCCAGGAGTAAACAGCAAACCGAAGGGAGCTGTGTTTATGCCAAACAAAATTATGCCAATTAACCTTCTCCACATCCTCATAGAAGTCATGAATAAATTTTTTGAAAGAAGGTTTAGAAGGTGCAATCCAACAACAATCTTCCTGCCCAGCAGAAAAGGGGACGGACCGAATCAAATCAGCAATATGGGCAGGCAAAGAAGCAGGGAGAGTCCAGGTACCGTTAGATATGTGATTACAAACAGGCACATTAGCTTTGGAAATAAAAAAATCAAGCTGATTCTGCTTCAGACGATCAGCCACCGATAAACCAAGGCACCAAGGATCCCAGTAAAAAGAAAGATTACTAGAAGGAATAATTTTGAAGTTCAAAGAATGCAAAAGGCTCTTAGTCACATCACATAAGTTTTTCCAATAAACAGAGCATTTAGTAATCTGAGTATTCCAAATGGATCCATATTTTTCTTTCCACCAACAGAAAAGATAACTTTTAGAGCTATAAAACCTCCATATAACTTTGCAGCCACAAGCATAATATAAAGCTTCAATAGAAGGGGTGCCCAACCCCCCATAAATCTTAGGTTTGTAGGTATACTTCCAAGAGATGAGGTGCATTTTACGTTTTTGAATCTCCCCATAAAAAAGAAATCTAGAGCAGAGGCTTTTAATCTTCTTGATACAGGTTTTGGGAAGCAGAGTCCCACGGACCCAGTACAGCAAGATGCTGTTAATGGTGTGTTTAAGGTATTGCAGTCTACCGGCCATAGAGAGGGATCTCGCTTTCCAGCCTTCCAAGGATGCCGTGATCTTATGCATAAGGGGCTGAAAGTCAACAATTTTCAGTTTCCTATGGAAAATAGGAATGCCCAAATATTTAATAGGACTGGAGGATATGGGGATATTCAAGGTATTACTAATAGCCTGCTCCTGAGTAGAGTTCTTAGAAAAAACAATTTTGCTTTTGCTGCTATTGACCATTAAACCCGAGAGATTAAAGAAGTCATCAAGGATGCAGTTCAATTGCTGAGCATTCTCCCGAGTAGCTTTAGAAGAAACTAATAGGTCATCCGCGTATAAGAGATGTGAGAAATAGGTGCTGCCAGCTTTCAGACCCAAGAGAGAGTTATTGTTGGTGGCCTCTTCAAAAAGAGAGGATAAGCAGTCCATAGCAATACAAAACAGATAAGGGGATAACGGGCAACCTTGCCTCAGGCCCGAAGAGGAAGAAAAGTATCCTTTAAGCCCCCCATTAATGGAAACTGAAAAGTAAACGTCAGAGATATAGCTATGGATCCAGGAAACAAAGATTTCAGGGAATCCCTTGGCAAGCAAACGATCAATCAGGAATTTTCTAGAAACCGTGTCGAATGCCTTGTGAATATCAAATTTAGCACAGAAAAATTGATCTTTGTGACTGGAATTGAATTCTTTGAGAAGCTCGTCCGCTAAAAGGATATTATCATAAATAACTCTATCCTTAATGAAACCTAATTGGCTTGGATGTATAATAAAAGGCATAACATCTTTCAAACGATTGGCAAGAATCTTGGCTATAATCTTATAAAAAGTGTTGCATAGGGAGATAGGCCGGTAATCTGCAATGTCTTGAGCATGAGGCCTTTTGGGTATGAGAGCTATAGTCGTAGCTTTAGCATGCTTAGGCATAGTACCAGTCAAGAAGAAAGACATCACAGCATCAGTAAGTTGGCTTCCAATAGTATTCCAAGTGGTTTTGAAAAATTCAAATGTGTAACCATCAGGGCCGGGAGCCGAGCAGGTAAGGGAGGAGAAGATAACATTCTTAATTTCTTCCACAGAGACAGGAGCAACCAAGCCGGGAATGGAGCTAGAAGGGAGCAAGTAATGAGTTGGAGGAGCCCTGCTAGAATGAGTAATAGGAGCAGCCGAATTAAAAACCTTTTGAAAATGATTGACATTAATGGCCCTATTAATGTCAACTGGATTAGAAAAAGTCCCCTCAACCGTAGAAATGCATTTGATTTGATTTGAATTATGTCTGACATTAATCCTGGAATATAAAAACTTCAAATCATCCTCCCCATTCGAAAGCCACTTAGCTTTAGCCCTTTGAATAATCCAGGACGACCAATCAGAGTTTTTAACCGCAAGCTTGTGGTTAATATCTTTAAGAGCCAGATTGAGATCAGAATCGAGTGGATTAGCCTGGATTTGACATAAAAGATTGTTTTGCAAGAATGTAAGATCAGAAATATCAATTTGAAGGGAGTTGGAAGTGACCCAATTCTTGGATTTCAAACTAATCTTAAGAGTCTTAAGCTTCTGGAGAAAAGCATGAATGAGACTGCTATGAAATCTTTGAGAGAAGACCTAAATAAGAGAATCCCAAAACTCAGAGTTAGCCAGCCAATAATTCTTAAAAAGAAATCTATGGTTCTTGCGTTTACTTTGATCCATTTGTAAAATGATAGGAGAATGATCAGAAATCTGAGGGTTGTCCACAAGATAAAAGGATGAAGGAAAATTTCCAAGCCAGCAGTCGTTAACCAACATCCTATCTAATTTAATGTGGATTGGGTTATCGGTCCTTTGGTTATACCAAGTAAAATAATGCCCAATGGAAGACAGATCATGAACATCAATATTAAATATCAAATTGTTGAAATCAGCCACTTTGCTGTTAGAAAGTAGAGAACCACCGGCCTTCTCATTAGAGGATCTGCAGCAGTTAAAGTCCCCTAGGATAATCCAGGGGGAAGTAATACCAATGGCAATATCAGCAAGGTCTTTCCATAACATAAGCCTTTCCTCCAAAGCATTAGAAGCATAAACGACAAAAACACAATAAGCTTCCGTAGTGCCAGAAAAAACCGATCCATGAATTAATTGGCTTGAAGTAAAAGCGGGTTTGAAACTCACAGAAGAAGAGTTCCACTTAATCCATATGCGACCGGGGGAGGCATAATCAAAATTATCATAAGAGCCTTCAACAGAGAAAACAGAATGAGAAGAAATAAACCAGGGGTTGCGGAGAGAAGTCGGAGAGATTCTTGTTTCCAGTAGGAAGAGCAAGTCTAGGTCAAAGGTTTTGACTAAGTTTTTACAACATAAAACTTTGTCGGGGCTATTGAATCCACGGGTGTTCCAGGAAGCCAGGAGGGGGAAGCTGGTCATTGGGATTTTGAGGTGGGTGTTGTGGCCTTTTTGGCCGATTTGGCTCTTGTCGATTTGGCTGTGGAATTTGTGTTGACAATTGGTTGTTTGGTTTGACTATTACTGGTGGCCATGGTTTTATTGGATGTATCTGCTGGGTTGTCCGGGTTATCGTGGGGGTTGGAAGAGGAAGAAGGTAAGGTAATTACTTGGGAAGTGGCTGACTCAGGAGCCGGGTCTTGGTCATTAAGGGCGTCAAACTTGTTTTTAGTGAGTTTTTAACCGCAAGCTTGTGGTTAATATCTTTAAGAGCCAGATTGAGATCAGAATCGAGAGGATTAGCCTGAATTTGACATAAAAGATTGTTTTGCAAGAATGTAAGATCAGAAATATCAATTTGGAGGGAGTTGGAAGTGACCCAATTCTTGGATTTCAGACTAATCTTTAGTGTCTTAAGCTTCTGGAGAAAAGCATGAATAGGACTGCTGTGAAATCTTTGAGAGAAGACCTGAATAAGAGAATCCCAAAACACAAAGTTAGCCAGCCAATAATTCTTAAAAAGAAATCTATGATTCTTGCATTTGCTTTGATCCATTTGTAAAATGATAGGCGAATGATCAGAAATCTGAGGGTTGTCCACAAGATAGAAGGATGAAGGAAAATTTCCAAGCCAACAGTCGTTAACCAACATCCTATCTAATTTAATGTGAATTGGGTTATCGGTCCTTTGGTTATACCAAGTAAAATAATGACCAATGGAAGACAGATCATGAACAGCAATATTGAATATCAAATTGTTGAAATCAGCCACTTTGCTACTAGTAAGTAAGGAACCACCGGCCTTCTCATTAGGTGATCTGCAACAGTTAAAGTCCCCTAGGATAATCCAGGGGGAAGTAATACCAATGGCAATATCAGCAAGGTCCTTCCATAACTTAAGCCTTTCCTCCAAATCATTAGACGCATAAACGACAGAAACACAGTAGGTTTCCGTAGTGCCAGAAAAAACCAATCCATGAATTAATTGGCTAGAAGTAAAAACAGGTTTGAAACTCACAGATGAAGAGTTCCACTTAATCCATATGCGACCAGGGGAGGCATAATCGAAATTATCATAAGAGCCTTCAGCAGAGAAAACAGTGTGAGAAGAAATAAACCAGGGGTCGCAGAGAGAAGTCAGAGAGATTCTTGTTTCCAGTAAGAAGAGCAAGTCAAGGTCAAAGGTTTTGACTAAGTTTTTACAACATAAAACTTTGTCGGGGCTATTGAATCCACGGGTGTTCCAGGAAGCCAGGAGGGGGAAGCTGGTCATTGGGATTTTGAGGTGGGTGTTGTGGCCTTTTTGGCCGATTTGGCTCTTGTCGATTTGGCTGTGGAATTTGTGTTGACAATTGGTTGTTTGGTTTGACTATTACTGGTGGCCATGGTTTTATTGGATGTATCTGCTGGGTTGTCCGGGTTATCGTGGGGGTTGGAAGAGGAAGAAGGTAAGGTTATTGATTGGGTAGAGGATGACTCAGGAGCGGGGTCTTGGTCATTAAGGACATCAAACTTGTTTTTTGTCGGGACAGGTGGGGAGGTAGACACAGTGGTAGGTGAAAAAGTAATGGTGTTGGGTGAGGGAGGAGTAAAGTCTTCTGAAGGGGAATTAAGGTTAGGAATGAGGGGGTTTATTTCAACAGTTGCAGAAGCAGGGGTTGTTGAAAGAGAGGTGGATGGTTTGGTTGAAGGAGGCTGTGGTTGAGGCTGTGGTTGAGGCTGAGGCTGCGGTTGAGGTAGCTGCTGGGGCTGCGGCTGAGGCTGGAAGGTAGAGGAGCTGGGAGGTTTAGGAATGTTCAGTCTAGGGGGAAGTTTCCGGGGTTTACGACTAGTGCTTCTACCACGGTTTTGGGATGTTTCAGTGGTCTGAGGGGTTGGGTTTTTAGGACAGGCATTAGGGGCATGCATGATGGAGTTACAAAAGGAACAGTGGGTAGGCTTCCAGTCGTAGAGCACGGTGAGGGGAAAGGTTTTGTCATCCACCGTGTAGTAGATCACATCCGGTAAGGGGGAGGAGCTACTCACCTGAACACACACCCGAGCAAAGGTGAGCCTCGTTTTGGCAGCTGTTAGAGTATCAACAGCAAGCGGGATGCCGACGCAGCTCGCAATCTTTGAGATCCCCTCCGGCGTCCAGCAAGACAGAGGGAAATTTTTAATTTTGATCCACAGGGGAATCGAAGGGAACTCCTCGTGAACAGGGATGAAATCCGGAGTCCACTTCTGTAGGATGAATGGTTTTCCAAAGAAGAACCAAGGGCCACCCGACCAGGCCATGTCAAAATCCTCCCGGTTGTTGAACTTGAGGAGAAAGAACCCATCGTCTAAGGTAAGCAGAGAGAGGGATCCTTTCAAGTTCCAGGCTTTTTTGATTGTTGCGAGTAAAGCTTCATAGTACGGACGCCTTCCAATGGAGTAGCCGACTAGAGAGAGGGACCATTCAGATGATCCAGCGGTGAACTGAGCGGAGGTGAAATGAGCAGTGGCATTCTCAGTGGGGAAGTGAGAGATAGAAGAGGTGAACTCATTGGAAACAAGGGGCTGGGTAGCAATAAGGCTCTTCCAATCTCTAAGAAGGAGAGTGGAAGAGGAGGATGAGGGGGTGTAGAGCGGAGGGGGGAGGATAGCGGAGGACATCCCAGGGGAGATCCTCCCCAAGGGGAAGGCGGTGGCGGCCAGAAAAGCACGGAGCAAGACAAACCCTAGCAGAGCATAATCTCGCAAAACTAGATTAAAGCTTTATGTTTTCCTGCTCCGTCTTTATCAGTTCCCCCAGCTTGTTGATGCTTTTGATGGCCGCAAGGACGGATAGTGTGGAACCGAAGTTCCATTTGGATTTGCAATGGATGGCGCATCAGAACCCATTGGGTTTGCTGGCTTACTCCAAGATGATGGACGGGGAGACAGCCGAAGCCTGAAGTTAAGTAAAGAACACGTGAATACTGATTGAACTCAAACTAGTTTGATCTAACCTAAATCCGGGTCATGAATCGTTATTGATCTTGGATGGCTATTTGCCTTTTACAAAACAAAACCATAAAAAAAAAATGAACAGCCAAAGAGCCAAATCTAGTAACAAGGAGGTGTCGAACGGAAGCAGCCACCCAAGCAAGTCTCCCAAGCAAACAACAACGGTCCCACGAGGAGCAACAACAAGAACTTGAAATAAGCCTGCAAAAGGACACAACAAACTACGCAGGAGAAAGAGCAAGTAACCATAAGCACCAAAAAGAGCATAAAGACCAACAACCACAGGACAAACAGAGGAAGAAGCAGATGATAGAGAAGAGAATGTAGCGCGACATAAAAGCTACCAGAAACCCAACACCTCAGACAAAAAAGAACCAAACACCAAGTGGTAGAGACTAACAAATCAACCACCCACCCAGCGGCCCCAAAGAAACCACACGGGCCAAAGAAAACCCAACAAGGCAACCAGACCCACAACCAACAAACATAACAACCAACAAGGCAAAGAACAGACGAGAAAAGGCCCAACAACAAAAGAGAAGAAACCAAACTATTTCCTTTTTTGCTTCGTCTTACGACGGTTGCTTGAAGGAATTGCATAAAATGTATCCTAAGCTTCTTTGTCGTATGACAGGAGGTATCCCTATAACTCATCTCAGCTTTGTTGATGATTTTATTATCTATCATTTCTAATGGTTATAACTTTTCTAATGGTTCTATCAATAACATCAAGATCTTGTGTAGATTTCTTTCTCAGTTCCAAAAAATTAGTGGGTTATCTATTAACAAAGATCAGAGTAGCTTTATTGCGACCAATTCTGTGAATCAGACTATAATTTTTGCTATTCAAAGGTTATGTGGGTTTAATTCTAAGTCTTTGCTGATTAAGTACCTTGGGATCCCTCTTTTCAAAGGTAGAAAAAACACTCACTTGTTTGAAGACTTTTTTATCGCTATTCAAAGGAAACTTTCTACTTGGTCTTTTAACTTCTTGTCTTTTGGTGGTAGGCTTATTTTGATTAAAAGTGTTTTGAATTCAATCCCTATTTTTATTTTCCACACTATTCAACCTACTATGACTACTTGTCTTAGAATGGAAAGAATTCTTAATAAGTTCTTTTGGGGTTCGAATAACAACACCTCTAGCATTTGTTGGAGCTCTTGGAAAAATATTTGTGGTGTCTTTGAGGAAGGGGGTTTGGTTGTAAAAATATTATGGTTAGTGTTCAAGTCTTTTTGTATAAGCTATTGTTTTCCTTTAGATCTAATAAAAGCTTGTGGGCTAAGTTTATGAGAGTTAAATATTGCATGTATCTTCACCCTTTCTTATGCATGCAGTTATAAAAGTTATGATTCTCTAGATTGGAAGAGGCTTTGCCATATAAAATGAGAGGTTGAGCAGTACGTATATTCAATGGGGTGTGGGCAAAGGTGATGTTTTCTTTTGGTAAAACAATTGGCTTGGGCCTCACTCTATCGATAGTTTTCTTAATACTCACACTCTTGACAATATTAAGATTAATAATTTTATTGATGATGGGAATTGGTGTGTTAACAAATTATTGGATGTTATTCCTCCTATTTTAGTTGATATTATTAAGATGATTTCTTTACATATGCATGATGGGGATAAGGTTCTTTTTTCTGTTATCCTCTTCGGATGATTTCCTTTTAAAGAATGTGTGGAATACTTTTAAAGTTAATTATGAAAAATCTCTAATTTTTTGTACTATCTGGCAAACATACCTTCATCTATCATATTCTATTCTTGTTAGGCGGTGTCTTCATGATTTTCTTCTCGTTGTTGAGTTGATGATGAAAAAAGGTTTTAATATGCCCTCGAAATGTCAATGTTGCTCTAACATCGAAACTGCCAATCATGTTTTTGTTAATGATGATATTGCCCAAAAAGTCTGGAGTTATTTTTTTTTATTTGGCTAATAAGAGTGGCTTTAACAATAACAGTAATGTCTTCTATTTTACAGTATTGTTGTACTCCCATTAAAGGCCATATTTTTAACTTATTGTCTATCCTTATTTTTGGGTTTCTTTGGATGGCTAGAAATTATTCTAAGCATAATGACATTAAGATGGAGGTCAGTCGCATCATTGCCAAAGTTAGAAATAAATATTGCAGTTATACTATGTGAATATCATCTAGGGTACTAACTTTAACAAGTGTTCTACTATTGTTGTTAATTTGGGTATTTATAACATCTCCAGGATTTTTGATAGGTTGGATAGAATTGTGAGGTGGGTTAAACCTTATATACCTTATTGCAAATTAAATTCTGATGGGTATGTTGGTGCCAGTTATGCTGGTGCTGGAGGTATTATTAGGAACCACTTAGGAAATGTTATAACTGTTTTTGCTGGTCCTTTAAATTTATGTAATGCTATTACTATTGAGTTCGTGGCATTGTCTTATTATGGGTTAGATCTTTGCCATAGATTAATGGTTGTGAATGTCTGGATTGAGGTGGATTTTATGCTTATTATCCATATCCTTAATGATATGGTTTCTGGTAGCCCTCAAAATTTTTATCTTATTAAAAAAATAAGCAATTCCTTAACAATTTGAATTTTTATTCTTCTCATATTCTCCGGGAAGCTAATTCTTCTGCGGATTGGTTGGCTAAATTTGGTTGCCATCTTGTTGCTTATCAGAAATTTAATGCTATGAATTCACCTCACCTGATGAAAGGCTTAATTAATTTGGATAAGTCTAGGCTACCTTATATTCAAAATGCTTGATCCTTTTTATTGTTTGTGTTGTTTTGTTGGTTTTTCATCCATTTGGTTTGTTATTTGGTTTTGGACCTCTGGTTCTTAATTTGTTTAGTACCTTTTGCTAATTTTTTATGTTATTTTGTGTTATGGTTGATGTTTTCTGATTGTTGGTATGGGGTGCTTGGTTTAGGGGTTGGCTTGATTGCCTTTGGTTCTCTAGTGCCTGATTTGCGATTTTTGTTTCTTTCTTGCTTGTCTTCTTTGGATACCTTCTATATTTATTTTTTTGTTGGATTTCTTATCTGATTTGGTCTTTCTCTGGTACTATTTATTTATGTTGGTGTTCGTGTTGATTGTTTTTATATTTGGGAAGGTTTGGGGGTTTCGTAGTGTTGCTGCTTTGAGGCTAGTGAGCGTTGATGTTGGTGTTTTATATTTTTTTATCTTCCTTGGGCTCATTTCTTATCTGTTCCTATGGTTTGTTCTTTGTTTCATGGATTCCTTTTGTTGGGCAGTTTTAAGTGTATTGGTGTGTATGATGTTGTTTACTGAGGGGAGTCTTGTTTGCTTAAA